AATGACTCGTCTCGTTTAGCTGCAGTCTTTGCTTCACCATTGAAGTCTGTGGACGCTCAGCGTCCGACTGTTTAAAGCTCTGTGAAGCTGAGGGAATGAGGGAGAGGAAAGCTGCCTCCTTACCAGTGATAAGAAGCTGATTCTGAACTAAAGTTGAGCACGTTATAGTGCATATTTAGTCAATGGCATGAACACACAACAGTGTATATTTGATCACTTTTTTATATCATTTTAGGGGAAGCTGAGCTTCCCTTYCAGTCTTAGWGCAATTGCCTCTGCTGCACAACTATAAAATGGAGAAAACAACACACCAACAAATAACATGTGTATATCATAATAATAATTATAACTTACTGAAATTCTGTATATACATGTATACATTTACACATAAATACATACGTAGATGTACGTACACTAATACATATATACATCTACATTTGCATATACATATCCACATCCACATCCATGCTTACATACATATATACACACCTTCAATGACCGTCAGAAATCCCAGAATCTGAATACSAGTTTGTGTGCAMTTGTGAGCATGCATGATTTTTCCAATGGAATATTTAATAGTGACTGTGGAGACCCACAGACCCAACCCCCAAGACCCGAAGCAGACATAGGGAGACCAGTGCCAAAGACCCTGAGAGGGACCCCAAGTGCGGAGCCCCCAGGGGCACCAGTGCAAGAAGAACCACATACCCATCCCTCAGAGTGGACCATAGGAGAGAACCAGGAGAGCCCCCCTCCCCAGCGACAACACACAGTAATTCCCCGGGGCCAGCAGTGGCAATCTCACAGGCCCCGCCCGCACCCGTCGCCCTGGAGCAGATCCAGGCATGGACACAGAGGCCCGAGCCCCCAGGAGGCACCACCCCCAGGCCAAGGCTCGATCGGGCCAAAGGACCCAAGCCCCACCAGGCAGTCACTGGGCCAACCTGGCACACGCCCAAGTACCCATCCCCAGACGCTGAGGGCCATCAGCTTGCCAGCGGTCAGAGGCACAGCCCACCAGAGGGCAGAGTGGCAGGNAATATGTTCTTTTTTTCTTATAAAAGCCTAAATAAAACAAAAATATTGGTGGTAATTTTTGACTGTGTAACTTTACAAACAGCAGCCCACAGTTAAAACTACGCACTGACCTTCATATTGAAACAAACTGCTTTATGTTTTACTTCATGTGGACTCATGAGTCTTATTCTGAATAGCTGACATGCCAAATGTCCTGTGGGAGCTTGTGCATGTGAAGGTGTTTCCATGCATTGAAGTAATGTCCGATTATTAATCCACTGTTGCAACTGTTTTGTTTCATTTCTTCAGCTTCAGTCAAAGGGAAACCCACCGAGCAGCGTGCAGAAAAGCTCCGACTTAAAGGGCAGTTACGTCAAGCTTAACCATAAACTTCACAGGCTGCCAGTGATGAGTCTGTTTCCCAGAAGCGTCATGTGGAAAGAGGCTCTTGCAGCAGCAGCAGCAGCAGCAGCAGCAGCAGCAGCTGAGGCAGCAGAGGCAGAGTGGGTTAGGTGGGAGGGCAGGGTTTTGGGGTCTAACCAGTGCCGTGTTCACAGTTGCTGCTCCAGTTTATTCTAACCAGATGAGAGAAATAGAACAAATCACTGAATCAGCAAAGACTTTTCTCAATCATTCTGAAGTTCTCATCATCAGTTTCTCTCTCTGGAAGCAGCTGTGGTCGTGATGACTAATAAATAACTTACCTGAAAATGACAATGAGGATCACTAACCAACACTGGTTACAGTGTCTCTGGGTTTTCTTCCAGTTTAATGAGTATCTTTATTCTGAAATAAATATAACAGATGGCATCTTTTCATCTTTAACATACAGTTTGCTGTAAATTCAAATAAGCATGGGATTACAAAGATGGCAGTTTTCTGCAGTACTTTATCGTGTAACTTTTAATTTGTATATTTAAAAATGTAAATGGTAAATGGTACTGAACTTATAGAGCAATTTTCAAGTCCCTCCGGACCCCAAAGCATTTCACACTAACAGACATTCACCCACTCACACTCACATTCACACACTGATGATGGCAAACTACACTGTAGCCACAGCTTGTTAACTTGTATGTTTCTGCAGAACAAATGGACACAAATGGAAAAAAAACTGTCAKATTTATGTAAAGTTAATAAAATGCGGCCATAATGAAGAAATTGAAGTTTTTACTTTAAGATAAATATGATAAAGAAAAACAAAGRAATAGGTATTTACAAATATTAGTGAAAACTCTTCAGAAAGGTTTTACATTATGATGAAATGCTGTGTGTAGTAATGGTCAGGTCTGAGCGCTGGTCTGTGTTGTCCTAGAATCAGATTTGTGTTAGACAGGCTTGGCAGGCCAAACTGCTCC